AAAAATCAAGACAGTGTGGCAGTGTCGTATTTGTGAAAGAACAAATAGATCAATGGCACTAAACAGAGAGCCCAGAAATAGACCCATATAAATATAGTCAACTGATCTCTGACAAAGGAACAAACTCAAAGGGGAAAAAATCCACTTCTAACTTTCTCTCGTTTCTTTAGCACAACAGCCTTTCCTTCACCGGCTGTCCTTTCCTTTCATTAACCTGAGTACTCACCTGGGTCCTCTTAAGGGTTCTAGCTGGTCACACTCTGACCTTCCACGAATATAATAAGGTATCTGTATATATTTCCAGTTTAGACCTCCCATGTGAGTCACAGGCTAAAATACAAGCATTGGATATTCAACACCTGCCAAAGTCTTTCCCAGGTTCCTCTTCTAACAGCATTGCTAGTCTCCGGGGCAACGTCGTCACCACCACTCACCGAGTGCAAGAGACTGCTCAATCAAATCACTTGTAAATTACATCTCCCCTCCGGTTCACTCCATCAATCATTCATAAAGTCCAGATGATCCACTGGCCTGCCCCTTACCTCTTGGACCCTGGAGCTTCGTTCCTAGCCTCTTCTCCCTACTCATTCACATATAATTGTGTCCGTGGTTCACTAGACTATCCTTCCCATCAAACCAAGGCTCCTCTAAAATTAGGAACATACATAATTTTTTTTTTTTTGAGACGGAATCTCGCACTGTCGCCCAGGCGGGAGTGCAAAGGCGCGATCCCGGCTCACTGCAACCTCCGCCTCCCGGGTTCACGCAATTCTCCTGCCTCAGCCTACCGAGTAGCTTGGATTACAGGTGCACATCACCACACCCGGCTAACTTTTTGTGTTTTTAGCAGAGACGGGTTTCACTATGTTGGCGAGACTGGTCTCGAACTCCTGACCTCGTGATCCGCCCACCTCGGCCTCCCGAAGTGCTGGGATTACTGGTGTGAGCCACCGCATCCGGCCAGAACATACATAATTTATCTCTCCATTGCCAGCACCAGCCCTGGAGTCCAGCACACAAAACACTCCATAAACAAGCATTTGGCCAAACGAAAAAGGAGGAAGATAATTTTTCCAACGAAGTTCTAAGGGTCTGCATAAGACAACTTTATGTAGAAAACATGAAATGATGGCGGCTCCTCAGACTTCAGGGCCCGCAGCTGGCAGCGAAGTACAGTGTAACTTGCCCGTCACAGAATACCACGAGGCACGTTTCTGGAGGACCACAGCTTGGGTGAGGGGGTGAGTTCAGTTCCCGGAGGAACCCTGAAGAAATGAACGTGGCCACCCTTGGTGTCCAGTCGCCTTCAAACACTGAAAGTCTCTACTTACCCACCACGGAGCTACCCGGAAACTGGTGGCCATCCCCACGCCCACGTCCGTGCGCTGCAAGAGACCTCGAGGGATGCGTCCGCCCGCAGACAGCTGCGGGCCCCGGGCCCCCGACACCTGACCGTCCAGGGGCCGAGTCGCTCGCAGGGACGCCGGCTCCTCAGCTCTCGCCCAACACGCACGGCGCGTGGCCAGACGGCCTCCGGGTCTGGGTACCAGGAGTCGCGCCGATGGATTTGCGCCGCGGCGCGGCCCTGATTCAGAAGAGCAGGAGTCTGTCCTGGCTCCGTCCACGCCCCCGATCGACGGTGGTGTTGAGCTGGTCAAGTCCCGGGTCTGCCCACGTTAATCCAAGCCGCTTAGCTCCGCGCCTCGGCGGCCACAGACACAGGCAGGTGCACCTGCTGGCCAGACTCCGGTCCACTGAGTGTGAGCCGGAAGCAGCCCTGCACTGGCGCACCCGACTAAGGCTGGGAGTGCGGCGCATGCGGAAGTGCGTCATACCTCGAGGAGCCAGGACGCGACGGCGCCGGAAAAACTACGGCTCCCACAATCCTCTAAGAAGGCGCCCCTGTTCAGCAGCTGGCTTGCCGTTGCAGCGGATCTAGAGTGGGCACAGCCTGACGAGAACCGAGGGCTGGGAGGGGGCTCTGCCAGCGGCACCGGTCCACCCTACCCCGGCTGCACCAGGTTCAGTACCACCCGCAGAGCTCGGACTCCCAGTTTCCCAGGCCCTGTAGAACTGACTCAGAGCCCGACCCCAGCAGAGACGCAGGTGTGCTGAGGTCTTGATATCAAACGAGGTGGGTTCAGACCAGAAGGCACAGCAAAAAAGGACGCTTTGTAAAGCTAACAGCTGCAATTCATAAGGTTTTGTAACAATGTTGAACATCAGTACACCAAATAATAGAGTAACCAACTTCATAAAGGAGAAACTATAGATGCTAAAGGTAGATAAATAGAACCACACCAATAATGAAACTGCCTTTGCGAAAAAGTCTATCAGTGAGAAAATTACAGCAGAGGGGGAGGTCTTAATCCAACCAAACCCCCGACCGCGCGCGCCTTTGGTTTTCAAGTTGCCTTAGTTACTCCTGGGCTTAGGCCAAGCTAACTTTGGAAGACATTTAGATTATAGTTTAAATGATAGCCCTTTTCCAAAACTCAACTGTCTTTGTAAAACCTATGAGAGACCACCAGGCTCGAGGGAGGAGAGGAGCCTGAATTCTGCTAAGGTGTAGATTGGTCACAAGATATACAACCTCCCCAATTAGTCCACAAATAATACCGCTATTGTAGATTGGCCTTTTGAGATTTAAAAAATGTGCAAAATGGCCAGGCATGGTGGCTCACGTCTATACCAGCACTTTGGAAGGCTGAGGTGGGTGGATCGCTTGAGTCCAGGAGTTGGAGACCAGCCTGGGCAACATGGCAAAACCTCGTCTCTACAAAACATATCAAAATTAGCCGCATACGTGGCCTGCATGTGTCGTTTCAGCTTCTTGGGAGGCTAAGGCAGCAGAATTGCTTGAGCCCGTGTGGCGGCGGTTGCAGTGAACCGAGATTACACCATTGCACTCCAGCCTGGATGACAAGAGTGAAACCCTGTCTCAAAAAAAAAAAAAGAAAGAAAAAAGTGCCAAACATCTGAATGGACATTTCTCAAAAGAAGACATACAAATGGCAAACAGGTATATGAAAAGGCACTGAACATCATTGATCATCAGAGAAATGCAAATCAAAACTGCAGTGCGATTTCTTACCCCAGTAAAATGACTTTTATCCAAACGACAAGCAATAATAAATGCTGGTGAGGGTATGGAGAAAAGGGAACCCCTGTACACTCTCGGTGGGATTGTACATTAGTGCCACAATTATGGAGAACAGTTTTAGAGGTCCTCAAAAAAATAAAAAATAGAGCCAGGCTCAGTGGCTTACACCTGTAATCCCAGCACTTTGGGAGGCCGAGTGGGGTGGATCATGAAGTCAGGAGTTAGAGACCAGCCTGGCCAGTATGGTGAAACCCCGTCTCTACTAAAAATACAAATATTGGGCCGGGCGCGGTGGCTCAAGCCTGTAATCCTAGCACTTTGGGAGGCCGAGGCGGGTGGATCACGAGGTCAAGAGATCGAGACCATCCTGGTCAACATGGTGAAACCCCGTCTCTACTAAAAATACAAAAAATTAGCTGGGCATGG